AACAATATAGATACAAAACTTAATTTAACATAATACTACATACATGTAGGTTATATATAAATGTTAAATTAACCTAAAATACAAACGAAGAAGATATATTTTATCCATTTCCTTATGTTTAAGGGGAAAAAAGAGACTCAGGAAAGTAAAAGGGGTTTATTTATGGATTAAATGTTTTTTACCAAAGTATCAAAGTAAAAATTAAACAGAAAGCTTCATCAATGCGCGTAGCTCATTTTTCAATAAGAATTATTTTGAGAACAAATTTTTGTCCAACATGCAGCTTAGTACATATGTAACATAAATTTTCAGACACCGAGAAAAGACGAAAGAATATTTTCAAAATTTGTCATATCATTACCAGCTTCTCTTAGAAAAACAGTTTTACATGTAACAGAAAAAAACCTTAACTGTTATATTATTCCTTTTTGCTATATATAAATGGATATATTTTCCCTATTATGGCGATATCTTTAAGTTCATCATTGTAAAGGGAAGCAACCCAATTATTACTTAAGTAACATGTTGACAACTCTTTTTAAGTCCAAAAGATTTTGTGCATCTCTTCATCTAAATATTTACGTATCACAACCTGTTCATGCACAAAACAACTTAACATATGTGCTTGCTGTAAAATCTTAAAAAGTATTTCTGTCTATTTAACATGGTAAGAATTCCGTCCTCACTCAGGGTTGTTCTTTTCATGCATTCTTTAGATTTAAGATTAATGGCATTTTCCTGCTTTGGTATCATAAATTAACTTTTCTTGACAGTTTCATTGTTCATACCAGTTATATCAAAAAGAAACATTAGACATACAATGGTTTCTTTCCTTCTTTCCAGCAGCTTCATTCGATCTGATTTGTTTAAGCAAAGGGGGATATTTCCTAAGGAAACGAAAGTAGAAAAATAAATAATTCAGGAATGAAATTGAAAAGTTTTGAAATTAAGGAAATTGCATCTTTCTTTTACAGAGTTATCTAGAAGCGGGAAATACTAGTACACATGTAAAATCAAACAAATTTGTTATAAACGTCATACCAAGAAGAAGTAAAGTCCTGCATCATTGCAAAAAGAGTTTGCACTATAGTTGGTGAGGAAATACAGATAATGTTCGTCTAGAATAGATGATTAAGCTCTAACAAAATGCTACGTAAATACAAACAAATCGAATGATTAATTTAAAAAAAAAACTCATGACATGATTTGAGACATTGCAATTTATTAGGTACGTATGCACGTGACAGAGAAGATATATAATAGAAAACAAGGGAAGATAAAATTTAAGAGGCCCATGGGCCATATCGCTTACCTGAGAACTGTGGCTTCGAAAAATCTAAAAATCAATCTAGTATTGAAAAGCTTTAATGTATTAGTGGTCCAAACCTACTCCTTCTTAAAACGGATGGGGCGGGATGTATGATTTGAATTAACTTAAATCCACACCAACAAAACGAAGAATGCTTGTATATTTATTTAACTTACTGTCGCTTTTTAACTATAAGTTTCAAATATCTCACCTACTTCCAGGGGTCATAACTTGAACTAACGCGAATCTGCAGTATCTGAGAATGTTTCATTACAAATATAACCAATCATGGCTCTGTTGTTCTTGTTTGTAAGAAGATATTCTTAATAAAATTTCCTATTATAATATTTCCTTCGTTAAGATTTTATTGTCCATGATTACCCAACCCTACCCCCTGGAGTCATAATTTGAACAAACTTTAATTTACACTACCCGAGGATGCTTCCATATAAAGATCACTAATCATAATCATTGCTTTGTTTTATTTATAAAAGATGTTTTTCTTATATATTCCTAGTATGTAAAACTTTGACCATCCACTGTTGCCCCACCCTACACACGGGGATCATGATTTGAACAAATTTGAAGCTACAATACCTGATGATGCTTCAATAAAAATATGACCAATCATGTTTTTTTTGTTCCTGAAAACAAAATATTTAATAACTTTTCTTATACATTCCTATGTAAAAGACCAAGGTTTTATTATGGCCTTATTTGGCCCTGTGAGTATCGCAAAAGCTGAAACTACGTGAATTTAGTTAACAATGCGTAAAATATCACTTAAAATTTGGTGATTGAATATATCAATATGACGTAATTTTCTGGTATTGTGACGTCACAAAAAGCGTCAATTTTCTCATATTCTGAAAAAGTTTACAAAAAGGCCAATTCTTAATGGTATTTTTCTATATGCATCATAGGACGCAACTTCTGATCTAAAATATGCAACTAGTAAATGATAGAACTGTTTAAGAGAATTAACAGACATGTTTTTTTTTTTCTTTTTTTAGATCAGAGAGTGCGCTGATATTATTTTCTTCACTCAAATTTACCTTTTCCCCTTAAAATTCAATAAAGATTGCAACTAATTAATAACGCCAGTTCTCCAAAATCTTGGCCTATAGGAGAACATTTTAAATATTAAGAAATGAAAGCACTAAGTCTCTATTTCATTTTAATGCTTCTAATGAAACTTTAGTGGTAGAGCGTTCGCTTCGTGATCGGGGGGCCCGGGTTCGATTCTCGTTCGCGGCGCTGCGTCATGCCTAAGGAGTAAACAAAGGTAGTGACTGTTCCTTCGCCAAGCGCTCCGCACTAGAAATGAAAGTCACGGGTCTTTCGGATATGACCTTAAAAACGTAGGTCCCGTGTCACGGTAGGCGTTGGCACGATAAAGAACCATCACTGCTCAATGGCCCTGAGTGCCAAGCATAGGTCTAAATTTGAAGCCTTTCACCGGCAATCGGTAACTTCTCCATATGAGTGAAAGTTCTAGAGTGGGACATTAAACAATACACAATCAAGCAATCAATCAAATGAAACTTCAAGTGTTAATCAATCAACTAGTATATCTACAGGGCCATTATATGCATAAAGTAAACCGAGCTCTTTTGATCGTCCATTGTAGCCCCGCCCTTCACCCGGGGGTTATGATTTGAACAAACTTGAATCTACACTACCTGAAGATGCTTCCACATATAGTTTCACCTGTCAAGACCGAAAAGAAGATTAAACATGCCACCTAAACTTCACTATTTTTTGATTATCACCCCTTGAAAGAAGGCAAGCTCCTTTATTTGAAACAAACTTGAATCCCCTTTACACAAAGATGCTTTGTGGCAAGTTTGGTTGAAATTGGCCACATGGTTCTGGAGAAGAGGTAGAAGTGTGAAAAGTCAGTCAGATAGATGACAGACAGACGGACGACGGACAAAATGTGTTCAGATAAAATCACTTGAACTTTCAGCTCAAGTGAGCTAGAAAAACAGGAAACAAAATGGTTACCGTATAGCGGGTTGTTTTAGCAGGGAGCTAATTTTGGCTTATTTTAGCGTTTTGATGATATTCCTCTATCTTAAAATGAAATTGCTTAAATAGTCTGTCTCAGTATTCTTCTTAGTGTCCATCTGCATAGAGCTGAATCTGTGCGTCCGCTAAAATAAATTACGCCAAAATTTTTGGCATATCTTTGAGTAGGCAAAACGCCAAATTTTACATTCGCCAAGAAAATCCGCCATACGGTAACACTTAGTAAAGGAAGAATTATTTTTTTTCCGTCAACAAATGAATTGACTGTCTATATTTTATATGACAATATTCCCGATAAATATATATTATTATAACAGTTACTTGATCCGAAGGGTCGTACCACGTCGAGTTGACAGGCGCGGATTATCAGATCTAACGAGACGCGAAGCGTCGAGTTTGTTCTGATGATCCGCGCCTGTCAACGAGACGTGATACGGCTCTTTGGATCAAGTTACTGTTATAATGATAAATTTATTATATACCCTCTTGTAACTGGCTAAATACCGGTATATAAAGTAATCCTCTAGAGATCAATAGTATAATATTATTCCAATCAATAAAGCATTTAAACAAAGGACTTTTTAACGCGCAAGAAAAATAACTTCATTTTTCTGCGTACTACGTCATCAGTTTCAGAGAGTGGTGATATGGATTCAGAAAACCACAGTGTGGTGATCCGGAAAGTCGGATCACGACGTCACGTTATTGCATAAATTCAACAGTAAAATTGAGTGATACACGTTAATACATAATAAAGTAAATTACCTAATAGAAACAATTAGGAATAATGATCAAATATCAAGGAAAGTAAATCAAAATTATTAAACAGTGCTGGTATTTTGTATCTTGTTTCTTTATAAGCATTTTCAGCCCAAATATCTAGATGCCATTCGGAATGAAGAAACGGCAATGCATTTTATTCGTAATGTTAATGAAATATATGGATTTTCGAAAATCATCTGGTTACATGTAAGGAAAATGTAGTTGCTTTTATTATCATTTTACATGGGAAATGCACTGAGAGTGTTAAAAGATTAATTCGACAAAATCTAGAAAGGAAGAGGAAGACTGGCTTGGTGGGTTTAAAGAACTAGAATTAAACATGTAAAATATCTTTAAACCCGCTCCAAAGCTCTCATCAAAAAGTTCTCTTCAGAAGACTGAAACCTTGCCAATGTCCTTAAAACAAAAGATAAGTAGTTTTGTTAGAATTTTAAGAGGAAATGCTAAGAAAAAAATGCCATAACGAAACATACACTGTAATACTATCTAACAAAAAGAAAACTTGTTTGAAAAACTGAAAATTTGTAAATAAATGCGCTGATGCTTCACTGTATGATATAACAAAATCGATATAGATAAATTATGATTAATTTGAGGTGAGTGTGCCGTTTCGCATGACTTTGTGCAATATTTCAACAGATGTACCGCGTAAAGATAAATTCGCCCTTATGTGTGATTGGTCAACTCATTTTATCAGCATTAACAAGGAAATACCAGTAGTCTGATACACAAGAATTTAATAATAATCAGGGATAAGAGAAATTCAAATCGTAAATCTTGATGTTAGAAGTCATAAACTATTTACTTTGAGCGCAGCTGTCATCAGTGGTTATGACGTAATGCAAAACAGCACACTTAACTGGAATTAATAATTACATTTTTAAAAATTTGGAACAGGATTGGCAATGTTGGTGATCCTTTCGTTACTTTGTAAACATCTACTTTCCATTGAAATAGCACATTTCCGGTATAAATGTTCTGGTGAGTAAAAATAATTTTGAAAATTCGTGAAACAAACAAATTTGTGTTATTGTGGTTCTGTTGTTAAGAAATGTTGTGCTTGATTTTATAGGATGTTTTTCTTTACTGGATGCATCTGTGTGTTCAAACTGTTCAGAAGTTGATATCAGAGGTACATGTATATACGTACTTTTGTTTTTCATTGTAAAAAATAAATTTAACTTTTTTTAAATTTATTTTTATTGAATAATTTGACAACAGATATCACGATATATCTCAGTGAACATTACCTAAAAATTATTCAACAATGCTCTACTAAAACATGTAAAAGAAGAAAACATGAATGGTATTTGAAAAAAATGGCTCTGTGAATAAAATTTCTAAAACCATATTCAAAAGGAGACTTTAAAAAAGTATGAACTATTACCATGTATTTTTTTAAACAAATGAAAGCAAATATTTCATAGTGTCATATGCTTTAGGAATGTTTGTGTGTTTTTTTAGGATTTCAATATTCAAAATATTTTTATTACAGATGAGAATACATCTCTAGATTTTCAACCGACTCACAGCTTTAAAGGTATTTTTAAATAAACACTCGTTTATTATTGATTTTGAATTTAAAATTAAAAAGAGAATTAAAGTTAGAAATTCGTATTAAAAGTAATGCACTAGTAGTGAATGTATAGTCACGCATATCTGGCGTATCTCAATCAATAGGTTGTAAGCTAACTGTAGCAATTCGGAAATATAACACATCTTGATAATTTTCTTATCTCCCATCAACTAATCACATTTGGCATTCACTGATAAGCAACCTGTACTAAGTACATTTGAAGTGTCAGCCTGTCAACATATCTGCTCCGTGACGTTATAAAACGCCATCGATTTTTGTGGTTTTCAATAAGGACTACCTATCTTCTCAAGTTGATTTTTTTTCAACAAAGCAAAATATAAAACCATTATTTGGTATACGAATCGATGTAACAATTCTTAATTTGAATTCCTAGGTTGTTTATTCGTTTTTGCTCCATTGTTCAGAGAATATGATGACCGACATTATTTAGAATATTTTTTGTTACTAAATGGTAACCTGCTCTGCAATCCGATTTTTGCATTTTTTACATCTAGGTAAGTTTTGATAAAATTGTGACACTTTAAAAACATTGATACAAACTATTTAAATTTATTATTAAAATATTTTTACCAAATTTGGGTAATATGACGACAAATAAAAAAAATGTAAGAGAAGTCCACGAACTTTTCGAACAACTTCTTATTTCTTTTTACTCAAGCCCTAGAGGGGCTTGAGTTATCTAAAACGATGCTAGGTCATCGATTTACTCAGTTTAAAAACACAAAAATGTATGATTTTTGTAGATAAAAATACTTCTAGAAACAAAAATGAAGCTTATCTTGAAAACGGCAGTATATTCAAAGATATTTAGTATTGATTTACGGATTCTTTGCTATGGCGAATGAACAATGAGTGAAGTTCCGCAGCCGCAACAGTTTCAATACAGAATTTCACGCTTTCCTTTTCGTAGGAATATCAGGTAACTTTTTACAGTCGCCGACAAAGCATCCTTGCACGAGTCCACTGCAGACTCTGAAAGGTGACGGAGATTACCACATGGTTATGAAATTCTACAATGCATGGCCAGAAAATGTATGACTGTGCCTGCAAATTATGTGTACTTTGAGTGACAGTAAAATAACAGCACAAAATCAATGTTAAATTCTCTTTTTATCTTAAGCTTTGGTAACTTTAACCTATATTATATTAACTTCTTTTGGATTCGTACGGAATCAGGTACTGGACATGCCGCTCAGCTAGATGAACCCCATCGTCTCAAGCCATGGCCCAAAGTAGGAAAGGATCTTACATTTTGGCCGTGGTTTGCAACGATGGATAAACTTGTAGTCACGTGGATTTTTTGGAGCCCGGAGCCCCCCCCCCCCCTCCACTTTAAAAAATTTCTCTACAGACCTGTAGCAAGCTATTTAGATTGATGTATATATTAAATGTATTATACGTCATTAAGCAAAAAATTAAAAAAAACGTATATACGAGGGCTGTTCAATAAATAATGTCCTGAACTATATGACATACATTACAGATATCATATGACATTAAACTTGACTTTCTCTCATTATTAAATCTTTCATGAATTTATAACAGTTTATGTGACCTTTTTTCATCACATAGATTTATCGTGAGAAGCTGGGAAACAAGGGCTTTTCGAGACACTGCATTATAAATGTATGGTAAAGAATCAGTAAACTAGAGTGAAAATAAAAGCTTCATTAAAGCTGCCGCAAAACTTGTTAAAAATCCCAAAGAAATATTTACTGAAATATGTTACATTTACAGCAACCAATGCCTGTTTTATAGACAAAAGAGCAGGTGGATTTCAATGTTAAAAAAATATATAATGGGCATCAAAAATGGGTACCCTCCTTGCCAACAAAAATTACAACAACTTATGTACTGTTCGCCAAATTTCAAAAAATAATATTTGATGATGTATGATTGACTTTAAGACGCATAGCAAATTTGATAGACATCACATCGGGGTAGTTTACACTGTATTTAAGAAACGTTTGACGGTTAAAAAAGCTTAGTACTCAAAGGTCACCCTATATTTTGAAAAATAAGTGAAAACGACAGTGTTTACGAAAGTCTTAGCAATTATTTTAAAATATCAGTAATTGTAGTTATCCACGTTTGTTTTATTTTCAAACAGATATTGAAACATGAATCTATATAGCTATTGCTTAAGACCCTAAAAACAAAATTTACTATAAGATGTACTTGATAAAAACGGCGAATGTCTGACAAGTGCACAGGTATGCAAGAGCACAAAGACAGATTTATATGTAATTTTCTTAAACATTAGTGGTATTGTTGTTCAAAATCGTATTTGGAGAGACAGTTAATTTCTGGAGGAGTCTAGAAAGCACTTTTTTGGCCAAAAAATCAAAAGGTTTATTAGAGGAAGGACCCATAATCAGGAATCCACTACATTGAATTTCTTCAAGACAGCGTCCAAACCCGCATGCCCTGAAGAGTTAAGAGGTTTTGGGATAAACAGAAAGTTAATATTTTTTCACATTAACAATATTTGCCAGATCTTTGACCTTTTGACTTGTTTCTATTTCCAAACTTGGACAAAACACCTTTCAGAAGGAAGAAACAAGTTCGGGAAATCATTGGATCTGCCATTTTCCAGTATACGAAGGGTCATACACAAAAATGAGTTCTACAAACGATCAGAAATTGAATAAAAAATGTTACGGACATGTACTTTACTTAAAAGAGATTAATTAGTAAAATCATGAAGAATAAATCATTTAAAAGCGTCTTTTGCTTCTTTCTGAGCACCGAGGACATTATTTATTGAACAGCCCTCGTAGTTTGAAGTATACTAAATGTCTACATAAAAAAATATTTCATTAAATTAAGAAACGGCAACGTTACCAATTCATCCTCAAATATTAGTACATGTAGTTTATTCAACATAAAATCAATAGCCCTCATCTTATACCATTTTAGGTTATTAATGACGCTTCCTAATTGACTTTCTACATCTTGAGTATTTCTGACGTTTTGTCAGTATATACTTGTTTTTTTTTTGTTTGTTTTTTTGTTTTGGTTTATTGGGATGTATTTATGGATACCTGATTTTGTTGTGTTGTAGATCGTTCGACAGAAAAGAAAGCGCGTGTTTGGAATTTGTATGGTCATCAATTTATTAACAAATAATTGTCGAAAAAGAATAATGGGGCAGCTTAAATTATTTCATTCGTATATAGAAAAATCATTAAATAAAAAACCAAATATAGACAGATTGTGGATAATAAAAACACTCATGCAACAAAATCCATAAAAATATCATAGGCGCTTGAATCAAGGATACTGCAATTTTTCTATATAATGTATCGTCGAGAAAATTCGAACTACACTCGTAACATTTTTTCAGTGTGCAGTGTTAATTTTTAGTTTTTTGTTAACCTTTCTGCCTCATATACACTAGAATGTCACGGAAATTCAATTTTATGCACGCCTTAAAAATGACATATCCCAGTTTCTTTTTAGTATGCAGTGGGATATGTCATTTTTAAAGCGTGCATAAAATCGCTGTGACATTCTTGTGTATATTAAGCAGAAAGGTTTACAAAAAACTAAAAATTAACACTGCACACTGAAAAAAAATGGTACAAGTATAGTAAGAATTTCCTCAACAATACATTATTAAAAAAAATACAGTATCCTTGACCCAAGCGCCTATGAAAAATATAAGGATTTTACAATATTATGCAATTGGGGTTATGCATAAAATGTCTATAATGTCTATTTCAGTTTAAAGCAGTTTCAAAATGCAATCAAAGATTCGAAGGCTTTTGATTCACATTATTTACTGACGTATTCATTTCATCATCATCATTGTTGAATGTGGGATATTTTGTCGCTTAATAATGTTTGTTTTTATACGCGATGAAAAACATTCTCTCTTCCATTTTGAATAAATGACATGCTTTAAGAGGGCTTTTTTAAATGAAGGATTCCTTATTTAAAAGAATTTTATATTTTGTTCACAGATTAAAATATATCACTGGATTTTACCCCCTCTGGCAGCATAACAGGAATTAAAAAAAAAAAGCTTTCACAGGATTTGATCATGTGACCGACCCACTTTAATTCCCATTGAAGTTTATACACTTGTTATTTATTTCTTAAATAGTATTATATGTATATCGTGTATCATATCCTTTATCTAATTTCATACAATTTCACATACAAAAAAAAAAAAAAAAAAAAAAAAAAAAAAAAAAACGCACAGTAATTGAAAATGGATATAAATTCTTATGATTATGAAGTCAACTTATTTCAAAGTTAAAAGATAATCATCATTATTTTTTGTCATTCTTTTTAAGAATAGGTCCAAAAAAATAATTAAATTATCACAAATGATATTTTAGAAAAAGCAGCATTTTCAGATCCATTTCATTCCCAAAGTCTTCTGGTTGGAGTGATAATCTGCGGGATATTGGTCATAATATTGACAGGAATTGTTGTTTTCTTAGTAATGCACATCGTCAGGCTGAAAAGGTAAAATAAGGCGTATATTGATTGCTATTAATTATAAATAGACTTAATTCATGAGTTACAATGTAAACATTACAACATATATCATATTTCTCTGTATTAAACTGTTGTATTTAAAGTATTAAATATTTCATTATTATTTAACAGAATGCATTATTTTGATGTAAAAGAAGGCATTCAGAATGCAGAACCTGTCTCCTCTTCAGCGAATCTAGATTCAGGCTATATCACTCCCGGTGAAGCACAAGCTGATATTCAACCTGAACAGCATTACAAAGAACTCTCGATTGTAAATGAGTACGTAGAAATTGTACATTGAAAGCAGTGATCAGAACAAAATAGATACTGTATGCAGGGATATTTTCGCCCAGTGTTATTTTCGCCCTTTCACTCTTGAAAACAATTTTGTCCCGTTATATATTCGCCCAGTCACAGTTTTGTTGAAGAAATTATACTGTGTTCTTTGAATTCGCCCCGTTTTAAATTCGCCCACATCAGGCTTGGGCGAAAGGGGCGAAAATAAAACGGGGGCGAAAATTTCCCTGTATACAGTATATTGGAGATACAAATTGGGCATGGAAAATATCCATTGTTTTCTCCTGCAACATTTAGAACGACAACCAGACAAAATGCTTTTTCAAAACACTATGATTGGGGGACTACTGTATAGCAGATATGAAAGATAATGGGATACTCACACTACATTGTGAAATAGATGAGAAATGTAATTATGCCGATATAATTCTAAACCACTAGCTAGGATAGTCATATGACACTTAATAATTTCCTATATGTACTAATTAAATCCTTCAAGGTCTTCTGCAAAAATCTGAGCATTTAAATCAACATCCACAAACATAAAATGCTTATTTCATAGCCACATTCTAATTATAAAGCATTTCTTTTTAAAAGATGTTTACTTCAAATCCTAAACGCAACTTTTCAATCATACGATTTGGCTTATCTTGGCTAATTTATGAAAAGTTACTTGAAATTTAATGATAAACTTTTTAAAGTATTTAAAGATCGTATTGGTCTTGATGCTCAGCCCTTCTACTTATTTAACAAAGTCTGTACCTTTTATTTGCAGTATATACACACAGCTCCACGCACTTTGTAAGCTTAAATGGTTATTGCACAAATTAAGATCACATTTTTGTAATAAAAATTAACATTATAAATTTTCAGTACGATGGCATAGCCCTATGTTATATTACATATATAACGTCAAGTATAAATGTCTTTTAAAGCTGAGAATTTGATTTTCAAGTTGTAATTTTATGAATGAAGGTTTTACATACCACCTAGCTACAAAATATTAATACTGATTTCCAATCTGCAAAGTTCAAAATAGAAGACATTCTTGCTCCATTAAAAAGTACCCAAGAAGGGCCAACAAAACGTGTTGAATGACCTTTTACCTCAGTATTTTTTCATAAGCTATTTTGATGGTAAAGACTAGCTTTCTTGATACTTTTTGTGTTGAAAGAGGTTTATGAGAACTATTTAATGATAGAAACAACCTGGTTTCATCTTTATCCTTCAAAACTTGTCTAAAGTTGTCAGTTCCTTTCAACTAAAAAGCTAATGTTTTTTTAGGATCTAACATTTTATTTACTGAAAAAATTGGTACACACATCTTGGCGCCAAAATGATTCGCTCGATCTTGTTTCGATAGTCCTTGTCTCACAAAAGTCACAACTGTTTGTTACTGTCACAGCTCCCTTGCCTAACTTCAGGGATGTCTGAGCACCTTCAAAATGTCGTAATGGCTACAAGAAAAACAATTTCGTAAGTCACATGTTTTAAAAAAGCAAATTTCAAACTTCAAGAAGACGAATAATGCATTGATGCTGTCCAACAGGTACAAATAGTGTTCAACTTCACAATAAAATGGTATAATACCTTCAAATTACCTGTATTATGAGAAATGGGTCTTCTAAACCATTTTTGAAAAAAAATCAATTATAAACGACGAAAATCAATGTCAGTGACGAAACTTAAAAACAATAAATCTGTACTTTGCGGGACATGTTTTGTGACTATTATAAATATTTTACAACTGGTATAACTAAAAACACAAAACATGGGCAAAATTTATCCAAACCGGAAGTGATCTAGATCTTTGTCTGAGACCAATACTTCGCGTCAAAAATAGCTGAAAAGATTGTAATACATGGTCCTAAACCACTTTAGAAACATTTTTGAATCAGCACCTTCAGTGGTGGGAAAATGGCACTAAAGTGGTGCTCATAGCAGTCCAGTATCATCTCAAACAGTCTGAATAATTCATAGAGAGGTACATTTACGTTCGAGACACCCAAGAAGAGTCTAATTATTAACCAAAACGCATCTGATTGGTGTACAGGCCTGCCAAATCCACGGATCTAAATCCCATTGAAAGGGACTTTTCAAAGGAATGTTAAATCTCCACTCCACACCATTTCAAAGGTTTAGAATAATTCATGCAGTAGGTGTCGCGGCAGATAGGTCAACCTCCTATTCAAAGAGTACATGATATCTACGAGAAAAGATGTCTTGAAATAATTAGAGCGAGTGAAGGTCTTATTCTATTTTTTTGTGAATTTTATTTTGAGGGTACATCATGTCTTTGACACTTTGCTTTAATGTCTGACGAGATACTTACATGAAATTTTTGCAACATCGAATTGAAAAATACACCATTAACCAAGATTTAAAGAACATTTCATTGGATGCATTTGTTCCTCATAACTTAAACAAAATGTTAAGTGAACACTTTTGTTTGGATTCGGTGCATATTATAGACCCTCCTTATACAATTCTCTCAGAAATTGTGCACAATGTTAATCTACTAAATATACTTAAAAGGGATATTTATTCCGTTTATGACATCAACTATTGAACTTTCTGAATTTACAGTTGTGGTCAAGTTGAGCTACTTTTGTCCATGATGCTGATAAAAGCTTTCTAGTTTCTTTTGGAAAGCCTTTATTTTTTGAAAATTCTGTTGATAGAAGCCATGCCATCAAATTAAGAAAAATTGAAAAATTGGATCTGAATGATAAATGTTTGACCTTTCTTGAACTTAGCTGAGGAATTGTAGCTTTATTGTTTTATATTTTAGTCTTCGACCATAACGCTACATATCCCGTAATGCAAACAATGTGCAATATTTTGCTCACTGTTTGAATTGGGAAAATTTTCTCCACTAGCAAACATAGGTAAATCATCTACCTTTTACTCCATAATTCTAAACACCTTTTAAAATAAATTTGTATAATTTATCTACCTCCCAACCCTTTATAAGCGTCTCTACGAGTGATAAACTTGCTTGAATTAGAATTTTCTGCAATCCCTCAGACAATTCAAACCAATCATTTTATCGCCTGTGAGGCGACTGTAAAGGGTTGAGAAGCGGATAAAATAAACAAACTGGTTTAAGAATATGTCTTGAATTAGGGGGTGAAAGGTAGATGATTTACCAAAGTTGGAAAGTGGATAAATTCTCTGAAACGGTGCGCAAAATATCTGGCGCCTTAAATTGCACATTTTTCGCATTACGGGATCTGTAACGTTATGGTCAAAGTGTAGTATAAAAAAAAAATAACGTCACACTTCTGCAGCTAGGTTAAACTTAAATATCTTCTCTTGGTGGAAGTCTTATTGGTATATCTATCATTTTTAATAGATATGTGTACCAATGTCTCCTTGGCGGCTGTGGCGCAATGAGAATTATTTGACACTGAAAATGTTTCATGTGTGACAGAATTTTCTTTATGAGACATATTGGGGGTATGCATATGCTATCATCCTCTCCCATGATATTGACAATACATCTACTGCTAAAAAGCTTTCTGATCTGGAATCCAACAACAGTATCCTTGAGTCTTATGATTCCATTTAGAAGCAAATAAATATATCAGTGATTTCTCAGTAAACAGTAATTATCAGTATTTATCAGAAACAACTGAAATGATCAGCAACAACAGTAATAACAGTAAATATCAGTATTTAGCAGCAAGAACAGCACCGTATCAGTAATTATCAAACATTATCAGTAAAATTTTAGATTCTCAGCACTTTTTTTCTTCCAGTAGTGCTACTTCAAAACATTTGAGTGTTTTTGTACCTTTTGAAAAAAATGCATTTTCTACCCCTGTTTGCCCCCCGAGAGCGGAAATATGATATCAAAAACCCTATTGCAAATCTTTACAGGACACCACCATGCATCAGCCAATAGATGATTAGGCGACAGTGTGTTTGATAAGGAGAGGATATAAGGAAAAGTGTTTTTGTATTTTAAAGAAAAAACGCTATTCTTCTATCCATTTGTCGCCTGGAAACCTTAATACACATCTACAGGACACAATGAAACATTTGCCAAAGATGACTAGATCAGGTGCAATGGAATTGTAAGCTTCCCCTGCCGACTGTCCAAACCCTCATCATGTTCCTTGTAATGATCGAAATAAAGAAAACATCCGTGGACAATTTTAGTGAATTAAACGAATAGAGATCTGGAAACCAGATTTTCTTTTAGATAAAAATGGTCCCCATT